GAAGGGGTTCGTAGCGTAGGGTTACGAGCTGACAGTAGCTGAAAGAAGATGACTGTTATAGAATTTAGAGAAAGAAGGACGATGGGACAGGACAGAATGTGTGTATGAGAAGAATTGAGCGTACGGACAGCAGGTCTGTTTGACTTATTGGTGGCGTGGGGATGGTGATGATGATGATTTCGTTTAGTTACAATGGTTTAGGCGAATCGGTGATAATCCATTTATAAGGTCATCGAACGGGACCGATTCGCTAATGACAACATGGAATGAATATAATATAATGTATATAACATAACCCCTCTCCTATCCATCCACTCTCTTGTTGATATCTAGCATTTCTTTTTGCATCTCAGTCTCACCGCAAACAATAATAATTCTCATGCCGTCGTCCCCCTTTCGATGTCCCCAAGTGTTTATTTGTCATCACCAACAGTCAGTGAATGAGTTCAGTGCAAATCTTTCCGTTTGTCTACGGTTTAATTGCAATAGCATCAAAAAGGGAATGAATAACTGCTGAATGCATGGATGAGCTTATGTCCAGCGCGTTTCCTCATCTGCCTTTGTTGGTTGGATAATGGNACTGTTTTTGACTGCAGACGATATTATAAGCAATGAACTAAGCCAAAAATTGGCATCTGTAATGAGCCAGTCACCGATAATTTGGATCTGTTAGTAAATTCGAAATTGATGGTGAACTGAAAGGATGTGCAAAATTAAACTTGACTAAAAATTCGAATGTATTGACTATTGAAAGCGATGGAATGAGTTTGTTTTGAATTATTCACTCGTTTTGAAGTCTGAAGGAGATTGCTGAATGAAGCAGAAAAATAGAAATACATTTTATAATCCGGGAATTTATTTCTTGTTCATTTAGGAGGTTGAAGGTAGTGGTGGTGGGCCACCGGCATCGTCTTACGATGCAAAAAAGAAGAACCTCGCAGCTGCCGATATAGAGTGGGAAGCGTCGGGTATAGGTCCGGATGACGAAGATGGTGACGTGGTGGAAGGTTCTGGAGACGGTACGTTTTGAACAAATTTCTTTGGGTGTGGGACTTATACAGATGGCGTTTTAATACAGCACTCAGGAGATGATCATCGAGTTGAAATCAATTCTTGAATCAAACATCAAGCATCAATTTTGTGCTATTCATATAAAATGTTCAATCTTCTCATTCACATCAGTTGAGAAACACAATGAACACTGTCCATTTTCGTTTTTTAATCATTTTCCATAATTGCTTAACTTAAGTCCGAAAAATGAAAATGATGCGGATATGGTTTTCGATGAGGTGGTGTTTGGTGCAACTAACTGTAGACTGATTCGCACTGGTTGTAATAAGATACATATACATTTGTGAATGGCACTGTAAAGAAATCATCAACAAACGTGGCAGAAATCACATTCATTTTACTCTTGGCACTCGTCTCATTTATTTGCGCAATAATGCAAATATGTTTCATCGATTCGGATGTGATCCATTTAAAAAGGGATTTAGCAATAAAAACGTAAACGGGCAACGGATATTGGCTAAGATTAAGATAGACTTTTATGCAGTCGATATGATGCTGACTTCCTAATAATCAAACAACAGATATTCCAACTATAAAGGAATAGATGGGATTGTTTTATTCTCCGTCTTGCTCGTCTGAGTGCCTTCAACTGGGATTTGCAATTAGACTTTTTTGGTACGATTTGAAATTCAAGAACAAATTCTCCGTGTACTATCGGCGATGATTGCGTTTAGTCGATGTGTTGTATCGTTGACGCGAATGGTTCTTTTTTTGAAAAGGAGGTTTGAGGGAATTTNAGAGAACGGATAATACCTTCGCAAAGTGTTGATTGTAAACTGAAACACTAATACACTGAAATGTTTGTGTTTGATTCAGATGAAGTGCACGGCTCCGGTGATGGGCCTCCACCGGTGAGGATACCACCAGTAGTAATACAACACACAACAACAACAGCCACACAACCGCCAGCTGTGAGTTGTTTCATCTTATTTCTTATGTAGTCGCAATATTTTGTGGTGATTTCGTATCCTTTTTTTCTATATTTTCATCACGCTTTATCGCGATTTTCATTTTTTTAATCATTGTCCATTTTCATTTTGTAATCATTTTCCATAGTCTGGTCTCGATTCATCTTAGTAAATGTCTGCGTAAACTGCATCGTTTCGTATTAGGGAGAATGAGAGTGATAGTCCACCGATCTGAGAGTGTAAGTGTTCGGATTTGATGAGGGTGTGAACAGTTTGAAATCATGATGAAGAAAATCTGTTTAACAAAATGATAATTTTATTTTTATTTCGCTATGAGACATAGAAATGAGGCGATTTTTTCGCAGTCCAGAAAAAAATGGCCTCAGTGCAGCTGCTGAACATATAGACAACTGCTGAACATACAGACACGTCTGCTAGGATCTGATGTGAATAGGATGGAATTTTTGCCGGATTTGAAAGCTGCTGACTAATTTAAATAGCTGTCTGCAGATGTTAATGCAAATGAAGCAAAAAAAGAGGAACAAATTGAAATGTTTTTCTATCAACAGCTTTCTTTTGCTATCGATTTTTCGAGTTTTGAGTTGTGAGCGAGCGACGTGAGTCGAATCAAAGTGCACCGTAGCAGTGTTCCGGCGATGAAAGGATGAATATGGAAGAATGCTTTATTAGAATTGATTTAA